GTAAGGTAATGTAAGGTAAGGTAATGTAATGTAATGTAATGTAAGGTAATGTAAGGTAAGGTAATGTTAAGTAATGTAAGGTAAGGTAATGTAAGGTAAGGTAATGTAATGTAAGGTAATGTAATGTAATGTAAGGTAAGGTAAAGTAATGTATTGTAACTATGTAGGCAACAATTGTTTATTTGTTGATAAACAGATGACGTTTCCAAGGTAACATAACAATGAAGTTACACTTTTTCGTTTCCCTTTTTCGTAACACTATTTCGTAACATTTTTGCCGAATGACACTGACCCTGGTAATAATGAAGAAACCTGGTCATATTTTCAACTTAGATGAGTCAGGCCTCCAGCTCAACAACAAGCATGGATATGTCCTCGCTAAAACGGTTCCACAGACGTTCATTTATTGACGTCCGTAGAAAAGGGAGAACGATATACGTATATGTTATAGCCTGTCGCAACGCCGAAAGACGCTTCCTAAATCGTGTGTGCATTTTTGGAGGCGTTAACAAGAAACAGAAATATGAAGATGTTCCACCACCGGGCTCCACCGTTATTATGTCGAAGAAGTCAGCATATGTTACATCTGAAATATTTATGACATGGATAAAAGATCACTTCCTTCCCAGGAAACTAGTGGGAAAGTGCTTGTCGTTATTGATGGACATTCTTCACACGTCAGTGACACTGACATTCCGGACTTGGCAAATGGAAAGGACATTGTTCTTTTGTGTTTGCCCAGGCATTCGGCTCACTTCTTACAGCGGCTAGACAGAAGATTTTTCAAGTTTTTAAAGCACTAATTCCACGGAGCTTGTCGATCTAGGATCACGTCCAATGGACAGCGGAAAATAATCAGACTGCAATTTAGACAATTCCTTGCTAAAGCTTGGGGAAGATCAGCTACCACTGGTAACCGCGTATCAGGGTTTAAAGCCACAGGAATACATCCATCTGACCCGTCAGTTATCCCGGAACACGTATTTTTCATGTCTGAATGACATGTTAATAATGAAGCCGGACAACTTCAGTCCGAAACAGACTCCCCCAAACACCATCGACTTCAGGCGAGCGTTCGGAGCTAGAACTCCGCGAATCAGGCGCACGCGAAGTGAATGAAAATGTAAATACGAGTACAACACGTAAAATCCTTCTGAAGATTTCTCCAGTATCTGAAATTCCTCAGAGGAAAGATTCGAAGCGGAAGCAGTCAGCTACTTTCTTAACATCACAGGACTGCTTTTCCAAAAAAGTCTGAATTTCATTAAAAAAGAAAAGGCGGATAATAGGGGAAAACCAAGTAGACGTGTTTATAAAAAGAAATCAAGAAAACCTGAGACAGAATCAGAAAGCAAAAATGATATGTGCACCGAATGTGAAGAACCCTATGCTGCAACAAAGCAAAAATGTGACTCGATTAAGTGTGTGGACTGTAACAAATGGCTCCACTAGCTGACCTTTGTAATTCTTGCGGCAAGCAATTTCTTCTAAAAAACAAGAAAAAATGAGTGAGGCAACTCACCCTCCCTCAGTGGGGCATCTCAACCCCCCTGTCGGGAGAGATGGCTAAAAATGAAAAAAATATTATTAATGTTCTCAAATGACTGTTTAATGATTTTTTTCCGATTTCAGAATTGTTGTTATCATAATCCTGTGTTGTAGAATAAGATTCCAGCTTCTGGATTTCAATAATAATTTTTTCCAAAATGTGGTGCTTCTGACCCGAGTTTACCCAATAGGCAAGCATTAAAATAAAAAAAACAGTAATAGAAAAAATAAAGCAGTTATATATCGGAGAAGGAGAGAAATGATTCAAAAGGCTGATTAATGTTTGCATTCAAAGCACGGTCTTTCTGAAAGATAATTCTGCAGACTATGTTGGCAGCAGGGAGACTGACCTTGAAATCACGATTCAAAGAGAAAGAAGAACAGTCCCTGAAAAATCAATTGAGGATATGCAGAGTAACTGAGTACAAAATAAAATATGAACAAATTTTTCCTTTACAACATTAATAAAAGAAGCATTAAATTACCTCATTAGTGGTAATAAATTTATTCTGATTAAAATATATTCATAATTATAATTACATATGGCATTAGAAACATCCTGTAACATAGCAGTAAATTTATAATAAATACAACACAGCGAGCCAGATTTAGGTAATTTGACAAGAAGACAGGAGAACAAATGCATGTTATCAAAACTTGTGTACTAAACTATGTACCTATTTTAAAATATATTCATAATTATAATTACATATGGCATTAGAAACATCCTGTAACATAGCAGTAAATTTATAATAAATACAACACAGCGAGCCAGATTTAGGTAATTTGACAAGAAGACAGGAGAACAAATGCATGTTATCAAAACTTGTGTACTAAACTATGTACCTATTACAAAATAGAACGGCATCAAGAAAGGTACTTGCAAATTTTGCATTGGAACACAAATAATTCTAGAAAGATTGTTCTCAAAAGCGAAACTTATGGTGTAAGAGTGGTACTTCATAATTGGTTTGGATGGACTGGCTGCACTTCGACTGCACATTTTGCTGTCTCTTCAACTGTTGGACCAACCATCTTTTTGTAGATTTGCCAGTACCAGTGCTTCCAGGCTCTTCTGTCTTACTTTCCCTGTTTCCTTTGATTGACACCCCGGTAGAAGAAACGGCAGTCTCTGCAAATGGCAAATTCACATTATATTGCCTTTGTTCATGTAATGGTTGCACTAATTCTAAAATACATTAACTTGTGGGAATTGTGTTAGTTCCACCCCATGCTTTATTATCAAACAATTTACTGTATGCCTTTTATGAGAAAATTCATGCCATAGCAGTTTAATGCATTACAACTAATAGCAGGCAACAAGAGAGGTTATGAAATTGATCACTTACCTTCCAGGGAATAATTTTTCACATGTCCAGCAGCAAAAGTATTAGTAAATTCTTATGTTGCAGGTGTGCCCCTTGTGGACCATTTGGGTCGTCACTGTGAAAGAAACAAAAATGAAGGAAATGAATATAAAAACATAAGTTCCTTGAAATATGTTTATCGCTTTTCATGTTGCATAATCTAATAAGAACAGAAAACGTAACAAAAGAATGTACTCCATTATGCAGCATGAATATATTTTACTCTTCGCCGAGGGTCATTAGTGTAATAATAACAACGATAAAACAGTTGTGCCGTATTTCACACAAATAGGGAAACAGGGAGAAACATGAAACACTTACGAGTTTGAAAATTTCATAAGAAATCAGTGGACAGACCTCGGCCATATATGAAAGTATAAGTGAAGTTGGGAAATGGATAAAACGTACAAAGTTCCAAAGATGGTAACAAATCCAAATTAAATATGATTTAACCCCATTGGGTTAATACTTAAATCATTTACAATGTTTATGTCAGTAATAAAATTTGGAATGTCAGTAGCCACGGCATCGTTACAGGATTGTTTAGTTTGGTGCATTTTATGTCCTTCATAAAAAGTGCCAATTGTGACGAAGCAGTGGTGTTCTCAATGAGAAAGGACAATACGTTGGATGAATAAATTATATCCTGCATGTGCAGGGCTCTGAAGTGCAATTTAAATCAACAAGCCGATTAGCAGACTTTACGGAACCACCATTTTTTCTGTCAGTATGCAAACGATGAAACCAAAACAGACCAACAGCATTCGACTGTGAAAACAAAACGGAATCTTACCAAATTTTCAGAGATATTTCACGACTTAAAATTTCGTAATGGGAACGAAAGTGTTATGCCAAGGATACACTTCACTTCGCGTTAACTGGCTTTTGGCAAGTGACCGAGGATTCCTAGGTCTTCTGCACAAGTGTTTAAGTTGTTTTTGACCATTGCGTGTAAAATATAATATCACGATACTTGTAACATGTTTCAGAAACAGGCATCGTGATATTCCTGGGCGGAGTTTCGTATTAAGTAACCACAAATCGCGCTGTCAAGGTGGGAGAAACAAAGATTATATACAAAAGAAACTAATTACCTGACATGATCGCTGACGGCTGAAGATGCTCTTCTGTCATTTATAGTACTGGATTCCATCAATATTACTTTGTCACTAGTCGTACCATCTTGATGTTTTGCTTCATAATCCAGATAACTATTACAAGCGTCATTTTGTTTCAACATCCGTGTAATACACCGAAGTAGCTGATCGTCTCTTTCAACTTTGTCACTCTTCATCCTATAATACTGAAGTTGATTCTCCAGAGCTTGAATTTTGTCATCAAGTTCGATGTTTATCTCATTACGTCGTGCCAGTTCACTTGCTGCCGAGTTTAGCTCAGCGCCCAGTCGTTTTATTAATCGACTTTTCAAGGCCACTTGAGATTGCAGGTCGTTAAACTCTTGACATCCGTGTAATACACCGAAGTAGCTGATTGTCTCTTTCAACTCTGTCACTCTTCATTCTATAATACCGAAGTTGAACCTCCAGAGCTTGAATTTTGTTATCACGTTCGATGTTTATGTCATTACGTCGTGTCAGTTCACTTTCTGCCGAGTTTAGCTCAGCGCCCAGTTGTTCTATTAATCGACTTTTCGAGGCCACTTGAGACTGCAGGTCGTTAAACTCTCCTTCTTTGTTCCTCAGAAGTCTGAACACGCCCTGTACTTTATTTTCCATATTCCTGCTTCTCTTCAATTCCCGTTTGTATAATCGGAGTTGATGATTTTTCCGCGCCATTTCTGCTTCCCTTTCTGACCAAACTTCCTTCAAAGCATCAATTTCCGCCTCCAGGTTATTAAATTTCTGTACAATTTCTGCTAATTCCATTTCATGTTTCCTTTCGTTGCATTCCTTCGCCCTAAAATCTACAGCTCGTTCCATTGCCTTGTGTCTAGGTCCAGCGTGTTCAGCTTCAAACCGCCTTGCACGCAGCAGTTCCTCTTCATAATGTCGCAGTCTCTCATCCTTCCTGGCTATTTCATCTTGCAGATCTCGAACATGCTTCTCATATTCCACCTACAAAACATCACAGCAAATCACAGATATATCAAATCTAAAAGTTCTTGACGATGGTGATGAGTCATTTGAATAAAAATTGTCTTGGATATTATCCATCGTCCAGTAAAACAAAATAATAAACGACCTTTTGGAGATGGGGCTCTATCTCCGTCTTCAGGTACCTACCCACTTGGGCCCAATAGATAGAGCTAATCCCTATCTCTGGACCACAGGTCGTTTCATATTTTATTTTACTAGACGATGGATAATATCCAAGAAAATTTTTATCCAAATGAAATCACAGATAATTTCACTACTTAAGGAAAAATTATATTTAACACAGAAACATTTCTTACTTTAGCACGTTCTGTCGTTGGGACATTAGAGAGAATTATGCAAGAAAGCATTGTTTCTCCAACATGTAAGAACGAAGCTTAACTTATGAAAGAAAGTATTCTAATATTACTTTAAATCAAACAATTATTAAGACTCAAAATTACATAAATTGGCTGCATATAAGTTGAGAAACTTAACGAAACACATGAATAAAAAATATTGTGTCTCTGATGGGGTCCGCAGTGGCCGCGCGGTCTGAGGCGTGGGCCTTGTGTCTCTTGTTCGCTAGGACCGTGGGTTCGAATCCCACTCAAGCCATGGATGTCTGTGTTATGCTGTCCTGTGTACAGGTAGAGGCCTTGCGACGGGCCGATCCCTCGTCCAAGGATTCCTACCAAATGTCTGTAGATCAAGCCAACGTAAACGTTGGGATCCGAAGTTCTCAGGCACTTGAAGAACGGGTCGTTCCCAGTGTCTGTATAAATCTCTTATATATTTGTTTCTGTAGTTAGTTTCAAGCTGCGCCCCACCGGTGCTCTCAGGATTGAAATAACATCCACCCAAAAAGTCACGAAGTTTATCCAGTGTCCGGGAGGTGTTACGGCCGTAGGACTACAGAGGTTAACCCAAAATTAATTGAAGGCACATTCAAATTACCAAAATATGTTAAAAGTGTAAATAAAAAAGAACGTACAGAATAAAGACCAAACAATCAGAAATCCAAACTCACACGGCTCAGGCTCCGGCC